CGCTGGCCAGGGGAGGTGTTCAGGGATGCTGCTGTCTGGGGGAGATGCTCAGCTGAAGCCTGGCCTCTCCCCATGGCATGCCCAGGGCTGATGTGTCCCCATGCTTGGTGTCATCCTGGGGCTGCCTCTCTCTTCCAGCTGGGCAGGATCCATCCCTCTCCCGTGGAGCTGCCGCAGGAGCGTGGCAGCAAGTGATGACCATCATGAGACCGGGCCCTGAAGATGGTAAGGGGGGGACAGGGGTGCCGCTGGTCCCAGGGCAGTGATGCCTTCCCTGCCTAGGGGCCAGACCCAATGCTGGTTGAAGCCACTGACCCTGCTCCCCAGGGCCTCCGTGCCTGCTTTCTTGGTCCCCTCTTGCACTACAGCCCTAAGGGGCAGCAGTTGCATGTTGAAGGGGTCCATGCACAGGGGCAGAAGAGGCTGTTTGAGCCTCTGGAGCTGAGCTAACTCCCCAACAATTCCCCCCATCAAGGAAATGCCGGTCCCTGGTGCAGCTCCTGGCACAGGCGCATGGGCTGAGCTGCACAGCAGGGACCCCAGCGAGGGGACACAGGGGTCCCCAGTGCTGCAGCAGCCTCAGCTGTGGCTGTGCTCTCCCCCAGCCTCCCCAGCACCCCGGCTGGACCTGGGCAAGAAGGTGAGCACACCACAGGACCTGATGATCGAGGAGCTCTCCCTGAGGAACAACCGTGGCTCCCAGCTCTTCCAGCAGCGCCAGAAGCGGATGCAGCGCTTTGTCTTTGAGCATCCAGGCAGCTACAGGGAGGTGGGTCTGTGGCACATCCCCTGGCTCTGGGTGGAACAGCCCTGCCCTGGCTCTCACAGCCTTTGCAGGGAAGCCATTCCTCGTGCGGCTGGGGGTGTCTCAGCAGGGTGGCCATGCTCAGCCACCCACTCCACCAAGACGAAGGGAGAGCAGAGATGGCCTGGTGGGCCGGGAAGGGTGATGAGCAATCATGGGGTTCAGCATCCACCAAAGAGCAAGGGTGCCTGTCCCCCTCTGCACCCACTAACCCCTCTCCTCGCCTCCTGCAGCTCCCAGGGCTGGGGGCGGGCAGCTCACACCGCACCGAGAAAGGTGACCTGGATGGAACAGCAAACGAGTGGATGGTGAGTAGGTGGAGGAAGCTCCAAGGTGCTTTTGACAGCCTCCTGAGTGCCAATGGGGCCAGGGGCAGCTGCCCCCACCCTGCTGACTGTCCCCTGCGCAGGCAGGGGAGGATGCTGGGGGCCAGCAGAGTTACCACTCGGAGCTCCACGTGGCGGCACTGCCCCAGGGTGCCCCCCCTGAAGTGCCCAAGAAGACAGAGAAAGTCTTGCAGATGAGCAAAGTCCTCAACCCTGATGCTCTGGCTCCAGGTAAATGCCACCTACACCCCAAAGCTGACACTGTTGTAATTGCAGCAATGTGGGGCTGGAGGCACAGCAAGCTGCTGCCTGCTCCCCGCAACCCTCCCCCCAAGTTTTTATATATATATCAATATATAACATGTATTTATGTCATATATACGTAATCCTGCCCCCGCCAGCAGGTCCTCCGTGGCCGTGTGAAGACAGGGCTGTTCCCAGCACCCTTTCCCCTGCTGGGGACATTGCCCCAGCCCAGCTGCGCAGCAGCCCACACCATGTCTTCCCCACACAGGCTACTCAGGCCCCCTCAAAGAAGTCCCCCCAGAGAAGTTCAACATCACCGCCATCCCCAAAGGCTACCGATCCCCATGGCAGGAGCTCCTCGGTGACAAGGACAACACTGTGCATGGCGAGAACCAGCCACCCGTGAGACCCTCTCCATGGGACTTCAGGAGCTTCAACAGGTAATGCTGGCCTAGAGGCACCACCAGCCTGCCCATCCCTAGGCTAAGCCCTTCAGCCTCAAGAAGCACCCACCACCTTGCCAGGGAAAGACAATGGTCTGTGCCCTCCTTACACACCAGAGGGGAGCAGCAAGGTTGCCCTTTTCCTGCTCAGGAGCTGCTCGGTGGCTCCTCTGCAAAGGCCCCTGCCTCAGCAGCTCCCCAGATCTCATCTCAGCTCTACCACAGGGCTTGCACAGCCTGAAGCAGCTTGGTCTCACGGGGTAACCTCAGGGATGCCGGCTGAAATTTGGGAGGGCTAGTTCTCATGCACGTGGTCCTGGAGAAGGAATTGCTGCTGTTCCCAGCCAGGCTCAGCTCTGGGCTGGGTGGAGGAAGGGCACAGACACTGCCAAGTCTCTCTCCTAATTTCTTTAAGGTATCCAAGCAGCTGCTGGAAGTGGTGGGGGTATAAGGTTAATCTTTCCACAAGGTGCTAAGAGGTCACCAGATTCCTTCCAAACACCTGCTTGAGACTGAAGTCTCCAAGCCCATTTCTGGTGGCAAGCTCCAGGCCCTGCACCTCCTGGGCACCTCCAAATTACACCGGGGGCGAGGCTGGGAGCAGAGACCACAGAGGAAAATCTCCACTCTGGAAAGGGGTTTGGCAGGGATTCAGGAGATGGAGATCTGGTGGTAGCAAAGCACCAGCAGCCCAAGGTAGAGTAGTGAGAACTGAACTTTTAAGCTGAACATCAACCTCGGGAATCTGCCAACTGAGGTCCTGGCTCTCCTCCTCACTGAAAGCCTCTTTCACAAGGATGAAAGTCCATTAGCCTTGGTGGCCTGGCCAAAGTCACCTTCCAGTAGGCAAGCTCCCACTGGAGCTCCCCTGGGGACACAGTACTGCTCCCCCCTCAGACTGTCATCTGCCATGGTGCTGGGTCTCCGCAGATGGCAGCTTTCCCGAGCCCGCCCCAGGGCTGGATTCCAGTCACGGGGAGGTGGCTGCTGCATTTTGAACGCTTGGCAGAAAGGGCTGCGGGGAACTACGACCCCTCTGCGTGGGCACCACATCCCAAAGGGCAGAGATCAGCCCCGCCACCACCGTCCCTTTGCTGCTCTCCTCTCCCTCAGCCCTGGAGCTTTGCCATGGGGCCTGGCGAGGAGCACAGCACAGCTGCCCCCGTTTCCCCTTCCACACCAGTGGAAGCATGGCAGCACACTGGTTTGCAGTGGAGTGGAGCCAAGGTTAACAGAAGGGACAAGAATCCATGGGCAAGTGTGGAGAAGCAAAGGGGCTGCGTTAGCTAGTCCCCCAGGGTCTCCTCTCGTTACTCAGCCATCTTGAGCTTTCCTGGAGCAGTAACATCCAAGGAGGTGCCGTAGGGGGAGAACAAGAAGCTGCTGCAGACACTTGGCTCTTTTTGTTCAGCATTAACCATGTTCCTGCCTCCGTATTTATTTATGGACAGGGGCTGAAGCAAGGGCATGTTTCTGAATAATGCTTTACCCCGTACCATTTCTCCCCTCTCACACGCTGCCTTTCTATTTAAAGTCTTGAACTGTTATTTAATACAGATGGATGCTAATTTAACACCAAGCCTCTCGCCACCTCCTCTAATGCTTCACTGAGGCATGAAGATTCAGAGAGCCAATCTGCTTTTAACTGGGCTTTTCATGATCTTCCAAGCTGTTGGCTTTTAAATCACTTCTCAGTTCATCAAATGCCAAACTGCAGAAAAACAAGCTTTTTGGAACAAATCAGCTAGCGAGAAGCCAGTGGTCTTGCCTAAAGCCAGGTGACTCCCAGCACAGCTCACATGGGTCACGGGGCAAGGGTAAATTCACCATCTCAACAGCAACTGCCTTAAAGCAGAGTGATTTATTCCCAGCTTCAAACGTTCAGGCTGTGATGCAAAGATCTTCAACCGCCTTGCTAAGGTGTGCTGCCTTAAGAGAGAGTGAAAACCAAGCTTTGAAAAGGACTGTCTTTTTGCAAAAGGGAAAAAGTCTCTGGACCAAACCTCTCTCATTTACCTTCCTCCTCCTCCCACCTTATTTCTCCTTAGGACACTGTTGCAAAACAGTGCCACGTTACTCATGTTCGAGCAGTGCTTCCCAAAGCAAACATTCCCAGCTCTGCCTCATCGAAAGCTCAGCCTCCGCGTGCTGCTCCAAAACCAACATTCTTGGCTTTCTGGGGGCTGGCAATCTCTTCCCCGGCCCCTTTCCACTTTTCTCCAGAAAGGGATGACAGCTCTTGCCCCTGCGCTGCTCCTCCTGTTAGTCATAGTTCAAGGGTAGCCGTCCCAAAAGGCAGGCTGGAGCCTGGGCCAAGAGAAAGACATTTGCCTGCACATGTGCTAGAGCAATCAGGAGGCAGCACTATCAGCCCTGCCCTCTGCAGAACACATCAGCAGCGAACGAGCTGCTTTCTAAAGACCAGGGGGTTTGTCACGTCACCTGCTCTCTTAACCTAACCCCTTTCACACGCAAAACATCTCTACTGCCGTTGGCAGAGCCCATCAAGAGACTATAGTAAAGGTAGGAACGTGCTTCTTCCCTCCCCTGCACAACTGGGGACGCTCGAGCACCAAACCCCGCTCTCGAGGCCTGCCAAAGCTTGATTTGAGGTTGGCTCTGTACAAGAGAAGCACCTCGCTGGGCTACCGGAGACTAATGGCATCCTGGGGAGGAAGAGGAGGGTTGTCATGTGCTACAGGCACCGCTAGGTTGCTGCTGGGCTCAGAGTTAGGAAATCCAGCCCTGCTTTTTCCATCGCCGTTACCACACGCACAGCCTCTCCTCATGACCTGCTAAATCTGCTTTGTCTCATGCCGCAGGACTCCCACCCCGTTTGACAGAGCACTGGTCAGCAGCCTGTTCTCTGTGCCTGCCACCGAGCTGGATAACCTGAGCGTCCTGGAGGTGATCTCCCACCGACCCAACTTCAACAGAGTGCCGCAAGGTTGGGTGCGGATCCTACCAGAGAGCGATGAGCTGTAGTACGCGCACTCCCTTCCCCATCGCCACAGATGCTTTTATCGCTAGACTCGAACACACTTCGCATGGTAGGGGAGAGGGCAGTAAGTATTCTTCATGAAAGCTAAGCTAGTGGTCTCGGGTTGTCGTCTTCTTCAACGGGATTTGAACAAGCTCAAGTCTGGGACCATTTTGAATTCCCTTCGTACCAGCCATTGTCACAAGGGCGTTTAGTGCTAAGCCAGCCAGCCAAATTCTCATCGTTAATGCAAGCAGATGCCCCTAAGCTCCTGCACAAGACATCCCACAGAGCCTGTCCTCTTCCCTGCCTCACGGAAAACGGCAGGACCGCCAGCTGTGACACACCAAGCTGTCTCACTGCTTCTTCGCTGACACACAAGACCTGCTCTGACAGCTGGTGCCTTTGCAGAGAAATTCCATCTTTGGGACAACTCTACGTCTGTCATTCTGGTCAGGACAGCGAGAGGAGGCAACAACTGAAGAACACCAGCAAAACAAATTACCAGAGGCACTGGCATGTTAAAAGCCATTACCTCGGCTTGGCTGGACAACAAAAACAAATGAGGAACCAGGGACCTGCCTGTTTATCAACACATGCACAGCGCAGCCAGGATAGATGGGAGGGGAACACTGGGAGTGGGAAACCAGCACCCATTTTCCACAAGCTGCTGGCTAGCACCTGGCAGCTGTTATTTTCCCCTTCCTACTGCTAGTTGCATGCCTCACTTAAACATCTAAGCCCTTTGACTGACTTAACGCCAGATTTGCTTCATGCACAATTGCACCAGTCTGAAAGATACTGCCAGGGCATTCTGGCAACTTCAGCATCAGCGGGAAGGAAAGGCAGCGCAGCCGTGACTCCAGGGCAGCACGGGCTTCTCAGTGAACGCAAACATCAGCAGCGAGGATTCAACTACACAAATATTTTCAGCAATGACACACAGTGGGACACGCAGCTAACGACGTCTATAGCACAGTCATTGGGACATCTGGAAAACCCTGCTAACCACAAACAAAAATCTAATGCAACACAGGCTTTCTGCAATTGCTTTTGTCAGGTTCTTAACGTCACCCTTATTCAATCCTGCAAAAGCGGGAGCATCAGGATAAAAGTTTTTTTTTCCCCACCACCGTGATTAAACCCAGCAACTGAATTTTGTGGTAGAAGTGCAGTTAGCAGCTGCCTCACCTGTAAAGCGTATTTGTAACGCTGCGCAGACAGACGCACAGAGCAAATCCCACACAGGGATTCCACCACCACACCACTCAGGCAGGAAACTTCCATTGCTCTGTTCTTCACACAGAAGCAGGAGGGGACAAGCAAATGGGAAGAAAAAAGGTCTGTTCCTTAAACGTTAACAATTTATGATGCTTGACTGCTGTCATGTTCCAAACCCATTTCCCTCCTCTTTGTCCATCAGCTGAAGAACCCGTGTACCCCTGGGGACCTGGCTGGAAATAATAAATAAATTGCAATAATGTAAAGTATGCTTACTTTTGAGATCTGTCTGCACAGCGCTCACAGGCCCCGACTGCAGAGACTCAGAGCTAGAGAAGCGCCAAACGCCACAGCCCTCCCCGATCCACCAGTGGGGCTCTCTGCCCGTCCTCCGACACTGCCCTGGGATGGCTCTTACCCAACAAAACCTAATTACCTACACCCAAAGCCCAGCGCTTTCTCCAGAGAAAGTTTATCAACACATGCACAGCGCAGCCAGGATAGATGGGAGGGGAACACTGGGAGTGGGAAACCAGCACCCATTTTCCACAAGCTGCTGGCTAGCACCTGGCAGCTGTTATTTTCCCCTTCCTACTGCTAGTTGCATGCCTCACTTAAACATCTAAGCCCTTTGACTGACTTAACGCCAGATTTGCTTCATGCACAATTGCACCAGTCTGAAAGATACTGCCAGGGCATTCTGGCAACTTCAGCATCAGCGGGAAGGAAAGGCAGCGCAGCCGTGACTCCAGGGCAGCACGGGCTTCTCAGTGAACGCAAACATCAGCAGCGAGGATTCAACTACACAAATATTTTCAGCAATGACACACAGTGGGACACGCAGCTAACGACGTCTATAGCACAGTCATTGGGACATCTGGAAAACCCTGCTAACCACAAACAAAAATCTAATGCAACACAGGCTTTCTGCAATTGCTTTTGTCAGGTTCTTAACGTCACCCTTATTCAATCCTGCAAAAGCGGGAGCATCAGGATAAAAGTTTTTTTTTCCCCACCACCGTGATTAAACCCAGCAACTGAATTTTGTGGTAGAAGTGCAGTTAGCAGCTGCCTCACCTGTAAAGCGTATTTGTAACGCTGCGCAGACAGACGCACAGAGCAAATCCCACACAGGGATTCCACCACCACACCACTCAGGCAGGAAACTTCCATTGCTCTGTTCTTCACACAGAAGCAGGAGGGGACAAGCAAATGGGAAGAAAAAAGGTCTGTTCCTTAAACGTTAACAATTTATGATGCTTGACTGCTGTCATGTTCCAAACCCATTTCCCTCCTCTTTGTCCATCAGCTGAAGAACCCGTGTACCCCTGGGGACCTGGCTGGAAATAATAAATAAATTGCAATAATGTAAAGTATGCTTACTTTTGAGATCTGTCTGCACAGCGCTCACAGGCCCCGACTGCAGAGACTCAGAGCTAGAGAAGCGCCAAACGCCACAGCCCTCCCCGATCCACCAGTGGGGCTCTCTGCCCGTCCTCCGACACTGCCCTGGGATGGCTCTTACCCAACAAAACCTAATTACCTACACCCAAAGCCCAGCGCTTTCTCCAGAGAAAGCCCAGCTGCCTGCAGCCATGCCCCTGCTGCCGCACGTGCTACGTCACCTCCCACAGCCCGGCAGGGCTGGCAGCATCAGTGGGACACCGTGGCACGGTACAGGACAGCAGGCAGAACTAAAGGTGGACCTGCCACCGTGGCCCATGCTGCATCTTGGCTTTGGCAGCAGCCAAATAAAAAAAAAAAAATTTCAAAGCCCTCCAGGAAGCAAGGTCTAAGGAAAGTGTTGAAAAATTCAAATATTTAATGTATTTTTTTTAAACAAGCAAATGAAGTTTCATAACCGGTCCCGTCACGTTTTGCTTAACAGAAAGATGTCTACAGATCCATTACGAGAAAGCAGCTGACACACAGATAAACTTAAAATCCTTCAGCCACGTGTACACACACCATATTTAACGGCAGGCCCCACACAGGACCCAGTTGCTTCTGGACAAACATCGGAAAGCCCTAATCATGCTTCCAGCATACCCAGGACAAGCTCCCCCTGCAGCTGTCGGCAGCACAGGCCCAGCCTCTGGGGGCCACCACGGGGGCCTTCCCCAGGCTAAAGCAGGCAACTGCTAACCTGTCACCCTATGTCACGCCTGCACTACCCGGCGGCTTGCTCAGGACATGCAGGATTAGAAGTGAAGCATCAAAAAAGGTTTTGGTTTTTTTTTTTTTTAAAGCAAGAAAGGAAAAAGGAGGGAAGAAAATTCTGTGGCAATAGTAAGGCAAAGCCATGGGTTTGGCACATCTGATAAACTTGTTTTTCAGCTCTTATTCAGTCCTGGTTTAATACTTCATTAGAATAATAATAAGTCATTAGTTACCTGACAGAGAAGAGTCTCTGGTTACTTTTCAATAGTCCATAGTGTTCAGACTGAGGATATCAAATGGGCTTGAAAAGGGTTTGGTTTTGTTTTTCCAGGAGTTTATTTCAAAAGTGTGCAAACAGGATACACGGATAGCACTGTAATTCTGGTACACCTGATCCACAGACCCCCAACAGCCCTTCTGTCTGCCTCCCGCCCCCCCCCTCCCCCCCAACACTAAATGAAAGATCTGGGATGTATCAACGATCCGATTAGCTAGCGGAGACACGGAGCTCAGCCTGCCCAGTGTCTGCAAGCAGGGAAATAAGGCTTCTCTAGCTCACCCACAGCTCAACATATGGCGCTACCATGGTAACTAGAAAATAGCATTTACTTAAACGATGAGGGTGGCACAACGTGCTAGGGGCTGCTGTGCTTTCCCGCGTGGGCACCCATCCTCTGGGGATCTTGAGACGGGTAGTGAATGGGGCCTGGGGCTCTCATGAAGGGAGGCGGGGGCCCCATGGCATGGAACATGTGTGGTCCAAAACCTGCAGAAACAAAGGTGTCATCTTCAGGCAAAGAAACAGCACAACCAGTGCAGATGCACTACTGCTTGGAACTACCGACAGAAAACAGCTGGATTACAGCTGTGCCTTAGAAAGGTGCACATCTCCCACGATTCCTAAAATCCCCAAACTCCTTCCCCTCTTTCCAGTACAACGGGGGGCAATCCTTACCCAACACACAGCCTTACCCGCAGATAAAAGCTGGCAGGGGACTGGACAGCTGTCTGCAACGCCAATCTAAATGCTTCCTACTCAACCACAGAGCGAAGCAAAACATATCCACCAGAGTCTGACATCCCATAAAAAGAGGGTCTCCGGATAGATATAAACACACAGCTAAACACAGGCTGGCATCCAACCAGCTGCAGAATCACCCTTTGAAGTTCAGGTCAATGTGGCATTTACACAGCCAGCAAAAGCACTGAGTAGGCCTCAGTACCAGTAACAGGGATCTCTGACATGCCTGAGAATTTGCAAGTGAATACATACCACGACAGGCAGCTCAGTGTAATTAAACTGTGCTGACAGCTCATTTTAGGTCATCAGTTTACATTGTATGATCAGGATGAGGAAGATCAACTCAGGGCATGCATCAGCACAGTGGAGCAAGGAGGACTAGATCATCTAACACCAAGTCAGACATCCCTGCTTGAAGGGGAAACACAAGTACCTGGAGGTGGTGGCGGAGCAATGCCAGGAGGAGGTGGCAAGGCAATGTTAACCACGGCTGGAGGGCCACTTGGAGGTAGGTTGAAGTAATTTGCAGAAGCCTCCTCTTCTGCAGCAGGAGGAGGGGGGAGAGCTGCAGAAAAAGTACACGGTGGTTATGGAAAAATCTCTCAGTCAAGATACGCAGAGGTACCTGCCTTTGGAGAGGAGGCGCAATCAGTTCTTCCACAAGGGCAAACTGCTGCTGCTATTGCACATCTGAACCGGAGCAAGAAGCTGGACTGCACTGAAACTCCAGAACAGTCA